CTGTCTTTATAGGCAATATGATCTTCCCCCTAGGAAGGATTGTTTTTTGCCACTAAAGCCAATAAGTGGAGTATTTGAAGGCTTAAGATCCTCCTTCTTAAGTCCAAGTTTTTCAAATAGATCCGAATACATGATTTCTGATGAACTCTTCGAATCAATCAGCACCCTTTTTACATCAAAATTCGCAATCCGAAGCGTAACGACTAGGGCGCTGTTATGCAGTTGGTGAACTCCGACCAAGTCCTGTTCGGTGAAACAGATTGCTTCGACTGATTCTTCTATCTTGATTTTTTTGTTGGTTACCTCCGGGGTCAACCGCAACTCATAGACTTCTCTCTCGTTGGTAGCCTTTTGAATATAAGACTGAGCAGAATTATTTGTGCACATTTGTGGGTTGGTGGCAGCATGAATCACATCAATCACTCCTGCTAGAGTATTATGGTCCCATTTTGGCTCGGTCCTCCCTTAATCAGATTTTTGTTTACCTTCTATGAATTCGCCGAGATGTCCAGCCTGGACCAACTCCTCCAATTGTTGCGTCAGAGATCGACAGTTCTCAGTCATATGGCCCACATCCTTGTGATATGAACACCTGAAGTTTGGATTCCTTTTAGAAGGATCTCCTATTAACTACTTTGGCCATTTGAAAAACGGTTTTGTCTTGATCTGGCTTAGTATCTTGTATATGAGTTCCTTGAACAACGTATTTACCCCCAGAAATGGGGACTTTTGAGGATATCCATCATTCTCATTCTTCCTTCTTCTCTCTCTGTTTGACTTGGTCTACTTGTCCCTACCGAACTGCCTCTTGCTCAAATGCTCTTTAACCCCGTCCCTGGATAAGTCGTCATCAACTTTGGCATATTTTTCAATCCTTGATATCAGCTCTTTCAGATTCGTGGCTGGCCTTCTTGTGAGCGACTGATATAGGGGGTTCTCCTTCGGCAACCCGATCTTAAAGGATGCAACTACAATCTCTAGATTGCACCCTTCGACCTCATTCATAGTTTCCCAATAACGATGAGCGTACTCTCGCAGGCTTTCGTTATTCTTCTTCTTTAGCGTCAGTAGTACTCCAACATCCTTCGGCTGCTTACTGCTCGTTATGAATCGAGCTGTGAACTGCTCGGCTAACTGAGACCACCCGTCAATCATTTCTTTCGGTAGGCTGTCAAACCATTTCATGACTGACTCCCCAAGACTGCTATGGAAGATAGTGCAGAGCAAGGGGCTCATTTTTTCGATGAATGGTCATCAGTTGTCTATAATGTCTGAAGTGTGAGGCTGGGTCGGTCTTCCCGTCATATAGTTTGAAGTTTGGGACGGTGAATTTGTTCGGAATCCATCCCTTTTCGATCCAAACTGTAAATGGAGATGACTCCAAGCCGTCTCCATATTCTCCTGTTGCTCTTTTGGCTAGATCCCTAGTCGACCTCTGTTCTGGTCTCCTCAGGCAGTTGTTGAGTTCCTCGGTAATGTACTGTTTCCATGCAACCTCCTCCTGAACCCGAGGTTTCTTCTGCTGATGATGATTTTCATTTTTACTTCTGATTTTGTCAGGCTTCCTTTCAGGACTTTCCCAACGGTTCTCTCTCGTACGTTTCTCTTTCCTGGTCATCTCTTTTATCCTGGTTTTCAGCTCTTCGTTTTCTTTGATCAGATCTTTTTCCCTGGCATAAGATTTCTTAAACAACTTATCATGAGCATCAAGTTTATCCTGCAGGGATTGAACCAACTTTGTCATGGAGTGATTTCCCCCTTGGCATTGAGGGACTCACTACGATCTTCAATTTGATGGTTCTGATTCTTCGAAGGCCTGAAACTGGCAGAGGACATCTCATCGCCTTTATGGGATCTAGATGGGCTTCTTCTTGCCTGCAACTACGCATTGCTATCAGGAGGGAAGGATGCAGGATCAGAGTCTCCCAAGCAAAACTGCCTCTACGTGATTCAATTGCGCTTCTGAGTTTCGACATTGTAGCTTTTTGTTGCGAAAGATGAAAATCTTCCCACAGACGGTGCCAAATGTAAGAGGCAAAAAATTGAGAATACCTCCCACAGGAATTGAAAAATTGATGTGTTTATGAACTCAATCTCCCAGTCTTTCCTTACCTACAAAATGAACAAACTGCCCAAGATCGAAGTGCTTCGATCGAAGGCACTCCAATGCTTAAGTCAGTAAAGATACTGGAACAAATGGAAGAAGCCCAAGAGAGTTCAACATACCTTTCACCTTGAATTCTTCTGTTTTCTATAAATGGTCAATCCCTTAGGGTTTCGGTGATTTTTGATTCAAGGTGACACACCTTCCTTCAATTCAGTGATTCAGTTTGAAAAGTTGCTGATAATTTCTCTAATATTTCCTCCTGGTATCTGTAATTTCGTTGATTCGTTTATCTAATTGCCTAAGTTATAGATGAATCTTTATCTTTTTGTCTACCATTTGAAACAGCTCGGACATATCGAATGCCGAGCACACTCGATGTTTGCTAAACAGATTAAGGGACTTGGTTTGACACAAACCATTCTCTTAAATCGTCTTCCCGAACATTTAATAAACTTGGCTTGATACAAGCCGAACTCTTTCTGTACAAATTAATGAGCTTGGTCATAAAGAGAACCGAACTTCTTCTTTGTTTATCGAACCTCTTGTTAGCTCGGCTTGGTTAAAAGACTTAATCAAGGATTCTTCATCTCGTGACTTGTCTTGTCAACCTCAAGTAGACTCATTTAATACCATAACACGTATAATAATGGGGGTCAACCCCTTCAAAATGATTTTAAAAGTAATGTTGGTAGTCGTTGGATGATTGTATTTGAGACCGATGAATGAGTTTATTAAAGTGTGTCATATTTTATATAGATTATATATACAAATGTCAATCAAGCTCTTAGATTATAATTTGTATTAATTAACCCCTAAAATATCATATTTGTGTCAATGTGATCTATCCGTCCAAATTCACGATTAGCTTGGATAGAATTCCTCAAGTGTGCATTACGTGAGTCGAAAATTAGGATATAGTTTAAGAGTCACTGTGCTAGCACGTGAGGAACTATGTTAAACTTCACAACAAATTTGGACGGAAGAGTCATATTGACACAAACATTATAATTCAGGGGTTAAATTTCCATAAAATATAGTTCATAAGTTTAATTGACCTTAAATTAATATAATTTAAGGTCAGATAAATAGATAACTCTTTGAATAATCTTCAATTGTAAATTATTTTTAGGTTTACAGTCAACATTGTTCAACTTAATTAGAAGAATAATTCTTTATGTGACTCGTCAAATTGACATAAAATAAATAAGAAATTATTGAATATAAGTTTATTATTTAGTGAAAGTTTTAAATTATCTTTGAATTTTTAATTTTTTTAATTTATCCCTTAAACTATGTAATTTATTTCAATCGATTCATTCTGTTATAATGAACTGTTAAATAAGATAGATTATGATAACCTTTCACTAACATGGTTGTTGATTGAAATAAATTAACGGTTAATGTTAATAAGAAAGATCGATTGAAATAAATTATATAATTCAAGAGATAAATTAGAATAATTGAAACTTTTTTTTTTGGCATCACAATAATTGAAAGTTGAGGAAATAATTTAAAATAAAAGTCATAGTTCATGAGATATTTACCAGATTTTCCCAATTATTTATGGCCGGTAGAGTCAAAAGATTATTTTTGATTGGACACTTTAACAAATAAACTTTCACCAAATCCACAAAAAAAATAATAGTATATTAATATTTATGCACATAATGGTTACTTAAAAATTCATTCACCAAAAAAGAGATAAAAATGAGAATTCATAATATATAAAAGCATTAAAAAAAACTAAAATAATACAATAAGTAGGCACCAATCAATTTTTATATTTTAAAATTACTGCATGATAATTAATTATCATTTCATCGAAAAATGTCTTGTTTTACATATTCCATTAGTATATATACAACACTAATTTTTGAATACACACTTATACATAATTTATCTATAATAAAAATATATTATGTATGACTATAAATATATCAAGTGCAAGCACGAATGAAAAAATTATGAGACGATTCAAATTTTAAAATCTATAAATGGCACCAACTATTACCTACCCTTGTTACAAACCTACAACCTATATAAAAAGCTTTATGACCTAACTTCCAGCATTAAAGGAAAAGGTTTACAAGGGGACAATTTTACGGTAACTTAACCATTTGATAAGTGTTTTCACATGCATAGGTCTCGTGGGTTCAAATATTTCATAAAGTTTTTACTTCTTTGGGGTCGCTGTTTATAGATTTATTCCCTTTTATGACGAGATAATTTTACATAAAATTTATCATTAATTCGATGAGTAAGCGAGACAACGTACTGTTATAATATATGAGAACATTTAAGTTACCAAAAAAAAGCTTTATTACTTGCCTAGGCCACATCCTAAGCAAATATTTTCCCTCCTCAAATTATATAGTATCAAGTAGTGATAAGAATCTCGTTAACTATTCTCCGTTTCAATTTATATGAAGAACAAAATCTTATGAATATAATTTCAAAAACAAGCACTAAAGATCATATCAAGGTGGATAATAAGAGGTGGACCGTTGCTCTTTCGGTGGTAGCTTAGTCATTTGATAAACATTTTAACAAGGTGTACATTAAGAGATCAAAAAATCCCATTGGTGTGTGGAGAACCGACTATACACAAGATCTAACATTAGCTTAGAAGATTTATTGGAACAGTTGGGATATTAAAAGAAGAAAAGAAAAAAGCACTCGCCACCCTGTATACCATACCCTTATCCATTCCTTCATCATTCCAAAATGTAAGGCAGATATTTTTCTCCCATGAAAGATATTTTCTTCACTTTCTTCAAACTTGATTGCTTATCCTCTTCCCCAAAAGTGGGTCAAACACAGCCACTTCCACCTTCCATAAGATCATCTGACCAAAACCATCTAAGATCCAACCACCTTAACTTCATAGTCTTCCATGGCTGCTCTCTCAACTTTTCATTCATTGCTCAGCAAGAACAGTTCAACCCAACAATCTAATTTCAAGACCAATCCAAGATTTCTCATCTCTGTATCTTGTCAAACCCACAAAACCATTGATTCAAAAGCAAAGAAAGAGAAAGAAAAGGAAAACAAGGGTCTCTTGCAGCTTTTTGGGGATGTTGGGAAGGCTGGGAAGGAGCTGAAGGATAGTTTGAGTCCAAAACAGAAGGGTGACTGGAAGGATTTGATGTTGATGAGTTTATCTTTTGCTGTGTATGTGTATATATCTCAAAAGCTTGTTTGTGCTTACTGTGTTTGGATGTCTCTGTCCAAACAATCCTGGTAGGACTAGTTTCTTTTTCTTTTTTTTCTCTTTTTTTTTTTTGGCTTGTGGGGAGTTTCAATTATACTATTGCAGATATTTTTCTTAGTCCGTTGACTAAGATCAAGTGTAGTATATTTTCTTATCGATGAATTATACTATGTAGGGGCTCTCTCAAAAGTTGTTCCCACCAAGTCTGCAATAGCATGAGGTTTGGCTCATCAATTGGTTTTCTCTATCTGAGAAAATTCACTGTGATCTCAAACTATATGCTTATTCTACCCAATTAGAATTGTACCCATTAATATTGTACATAAAAGCTGGTCAATAAGAATTGTATCCCAAAACAACTTCAAAGAAAATTGCAGTGTATATTACTTTGAGGATCTAAGTTCAAATCTAATACAAAACACACCAATTGACCTGATGCATGTGGTTTTCAGGTGATTGTGTACATCCTAAGTTTATGCAATAATCACAAGTTCAAAGGACACATGTTGAGACGGTTTTCAGTTGTCACTCGAAAAAAAAAAAAAAAAGAATCTATCTTGGTGAAAATTTGTACCACAACCAACTTCAGCACCTGTCCAGATATCTACAAGATGTGTTAGATTGGTATTAACTGACCTACCTGAGGGCAATAATCACAAAATATAGTTATTTATCGTCCACCCTTTGTGGTAAAAACTAGTGAATGAAACTAACGGCTAACTCAATTATAAAGACAAATTGTAAATGCGATAATCTCTTAAAACTAGAACATGAAAGATTTATTCTTTATAAATATCTTAATTTCGGTGTGAATGACCTTCTTTTAATCGGACAAAGAGAGAATTAGTTGAAATTCAAATAAACTAATCTAGACACCTTGATCTTTGAACCAAAAAAAAAAATAGTGAATGAAAACTGGCAAAACTAGATTACCGTCCTCTAAACGAGGCCTTGAAGAAATCAAAATGCTCAAATTTATTTTTTTTTTCCAGTTTTTACCATTCAGAAAATATATCACACGGAGTCAACAAATTCGTTTAAAATCCCCACGGGGAATATAACACATGGATGCTACAAATTCACTTAAAATTCCCATTTAGTTGCCAAAAAATTACAGTCTATTACCTCTGATTTGCTCAATGGTATATTCTAAAAAAATTTCAGATCCTAGATTGGTTCCGAAGACATTACCATTATAGGTAGAATTCAAACCGTATAGTTTACAGTTCTCTCTGTTTCCAGCAGAATCATCCTCCCTGACCATCCTAACTGAAAGGAACAATTAAGCAATTCATAAATATGTACAATTTTTATCAGAAATTCCATTTAGATAAATTGAACAGTCCACTTTGTGTTCTTCAGATCAGTTGAATCTAGAAATTAATTCTTTTTTTTTTTAATGCACTCATCAATTTTTGGGACACCCCAATGGCGTAAATTGAATAAAAATGGGGACATTACAGGAACAGGGAATTGCAGCAAAAACTAGATAGCAAAACAAGGCAAAACACAAGCATTTGAAAAATGAACCCAACCTGCCTATGATATTAATATCATAGAATAGAGCTGAAGATTAATGCATCCAACCTTTATCATGAAGATCTCCTTCATAGACAAATCCGAACAGCGAGTATCAGAACAATCTTTGGGTACTACAGTTTACATTGAAGCGCAAGAAGGCTACATTCCCCGTTCTAACTGAAATCATTAGCTTCATAAACACAATATCTTACTCAGCATGTCTGTGTACTTAAAGCTCCAATTAGTCAGCCTTGTGCCTTTCAAGCTTGAAAAGGCGATAGAACAATGACAGCAGCCACTGCCATATCAGGATTAGCCAATTTGTTTGCTTGGGTTTGGGTTCTGGTCTTGGTCCGAATAATCCTTTGTAGAGCTCCTTTTGCTTTTGATAAACAGCCTTGTCATGCTCGGCAAGCAAACGTAACTCCTTTGAAATCGCTTTGTCTTCTGGAGCAAATTTGCGAGCCTTAAGAAAGTCTTCCCGGGCAGCATCTGTCTGCCCAAGTTCTGCTTTAGCCTTTCCTCGTCTGAATAGTGCTTTGACATTGTTCTCATCCTCCGCCAATACCTAGGAACCACAATCAAATTTCATACAAGTCACCTTGGAAGTTGTCCAGTTCTTGCTTTAGATATCCAAGGTTTAGTATAATTGGTGGAACATCAAACAGGCAATCAAATATAAAAGGGAGATCTTCTGACAATGATGAGGTGCTAGTTTCAAAGGATAACATTCCTGGATCTCTAAGAGCAGGCAAACTTTAAGTAGATTGCAAATAAAAGGGACCATAGATGTGATAGGAGTATGCTCTAAGACCAATCATATAGATGATGTTTTAAGGTTGTACTAGCAACATTCATTACTTAATTAAATAAAAGAGCAATTTTATTTATCATGTTTTTACTTTATTTCATTTTAATATGCATGATATAGTCCATAGAGTATAAGTTAAAAAGATAGTTTCTCAAGATATTGAGAATAGGAGACTTATACTTCTTAGTACTTAACTCTTAAATGTTCCCAGTCATAGGATTATTATTTAGGCACTACGTAATCTGGATAAACTAACACACACTATGTTTTCATATTTGATATGAAGTGACTCGTCCAAGTCACTAGTGTTAGGACACCGAAGCAGGTGTGTGGGTGCTTGTTAGAGAATAAGTACACTAAACGTGACCATTGACTAACGTAAGATTTTTCATATGGAGTTTTAGATGCCTATCAATGTTAAATCCTAAAGTTATAGTTATGCAACTAATCCTTAGACTTGAGACACCATGGTTGTCTTGTGCATGAACTTCTATACTTTAACTATACAATATATTCATATACTAACCATGTAACTTGGATATGTATTGTTAGACATAGTTAGACATGCATAGAGATTTATGAGTGTACAACATAAAATCTATCATCCTTAGTAATTAAAGGGAGAATGTCCTATGTGATCTGATGGGTTAAGCCCAAATAGTCCAATTTATGTATTAAAGCCCAGCCCTGGTTGAGAAGCCCAACCTCATTGTGAATCCACCAAGTCCAAGACAGACCAAGGCCGGTTAGACTTCTTGCTTAGCACGTCACCAAGAGGAGAGCACGGGAAGTTTATCTGCACCTCCTTAAGGAGCCCAAGGCTGGCTAGACTTCTTGCTTAGCACGTCACCAAAAGGAGAGCATGGGAAGTTTATCTGCACCGCCTTAAGGAGCCCAAGGCCGGCTAGACTTCTCGCTTAGCACGTCACCAAGAGGAGAGCACGGGAAGTTTATCTGCACCACCGAAGGAAGAAAACGGTCCAATCATTGACCACATTTCATGAAGAGCTCCCCAACCTCTTCCTTCCGTGGAGGATAAGTCGCGATCTCCACCAAAGATAATCTCTAAGCTGCGATAAAGAAGCCTTGAGGATATGTTATGATCTCCACAAGAATGATCTCTTATCTACTATAAAATGGCTCTAATCTGATAGAGAAGGTGACACATGCTCCATCAGAGACTTACAGAAGACGAACCGACTACCGGAGATTATTATTTTCTCTGATTCTCTACTCCCCCTCTCAAAGCTTGTATCTCCATTCTCCATACCTTTGAATCAATAAAATACCCGGCAACTGAAGCCATTGAAGAGTGGATGTAGGTCGAATTGACCGAACCACTATAAATTGTGTCTTCTCTAATTTTTTCGTTGATTTCATCGCATTTATTATCTATACTTGACAGGTGGTGTGCAAAACCATTTTTGTGCATCATCAGTTTGGCGCCGTCTGTGGGAAACGACAAAATTCTCACTCCTGAACATTACGTCCATTAACTAATGGCGATCACTACTCGATCCATGAACCAACACGAAGACAATCCTCCACGAGAGGAAGAGGTTGCTCCCCCGCCTATCAACCCTGTTCCGGATACTCTAGCCCCGAATCCCCAACAAATATTGGAGACCATGCAGCAACTGGTTGCTCAAAATCAACAGTTACTGCAACTCATACTTGCTGGACAAGGAGGAGTACCACACGGAGGTGCACAACATGGAGGACCCCAAGGAGGAGCACCACATGGAGGTGCACAACATGGAGGACCCCAACGTGGAGCACCACATGGAGGTGCACAACATGGAGGGCCCCACAGAGGTGCACAACATAGAGTACCACAAGGAGCTCCACATCCTGGGCATCAAGGAGCACCACGCCCTGTTGCTCCACGCCCGGGTGCTCCATTGGGCACCCCACTTCAGGAAGCCCAACATGAGGGAGCTGCACCTCCCCCTCCCCTTGCTTTCCAGGAAGAGGACCCTTATCTCCAGGAGGATGAGGGTGAAAACCAAAGCATGGGGCATGGAAGCCACTTCCATGATCATTCCAGAGGAGCCCCCAATCATTGGGACGAGAAAATAAAGGAGGTACAAAATCAACTCGGTGATGTCTTCAACGCCATGAAGGCCCAGGGACCCGAGACTGTTGACCACCTGGTAAGGCGTACTGATACCCCTTTCAAGTCTGATGTAGCGAACTACCCCCTCCCTCAGAAGTTCAAGATGCCATCTGTGGAGACCTTTGATGGAACAAAGGATCCACTGGACCACCTCGACACTTACAAGACCTTGATGCAATTGCACAACGTACCAGACGAAATCATGTGCAGGGCATTCCCAACCACATTAAAGGGGTCTGCCCGACAGTGGTTTGCTAAGCTCTCCCCCGCCTCTATTGCCTCTTTCGCCGAGCTTAGCAGATCATTCGTCTCACACTTCATAGGAGGGCGTCGCCACCAGAAGCCAGTTACGCACCTACTTAGTATAAAGCAGGACCGCAAGGAGAGCCTGAGGAGTTACCTCACTCGTTTTAACGAGGAGGTACTCCAAGTTGATGAACCCGACGACAAGGTGACGATGACCGCCTTCTTGGGTGGCCTCCGTTCATCAAGTTTCCTTTTCTCGGTTCTGAAGCGCCCACCGAAGAGCATGCCAGAACTATTCACAAAAGCTCAAAGATATATGAATGCTGAGGAAATCAACAAGTTTAGGCAAGGTGAATCATCTCACAGATCACCAGAAACTTGACCTGCCTCTGCACTGTTCTCAAACAGGCAGTCTATCTCCAGCTTAGCGGCTCTCTCACGGGTCACCAAAAAAAAAAAAAACTTGGCCTCTGCGCTGTTCTCAAACAGGCAGCCTATCTCCAGTTTAGCGGTTCTCTCACGGATCGCCCAAAAACTTGGCCTCTGCACTGTTCTCAAACAGGCAGCCTATCTCCAGTTTAGCGGTTCTCTCACGGATCGCCCAAAAACTTGGCCTCTGCACTGTTCTCAAACAGGCAGCCTATCTCCAGTTTAGCGGCTCTCTCACGGGTCGCCAAAAAACTTGGCCTCTGCGCTGTTCTCAAACAGGCAGCCTATCTCCAGTTTAGCGGTTCTCTCACGGATCGCCCAAAAACTTGGCCTCTGCACTGTTCTCAAACAGGCAGCCTATCTCCAGTTTAGCGGTTCTCTCACGGATCGCCCAAAAACTTGGCCTCTGCACTGTTCTCAAACAGGCAGCCTATCTCCAGTTTAGCGGCTCTCTCACGGGTCGCCAAAAAACTTGGCCTCTGCGCTGTTCTCAAACAGGCAGCCTATCTCCAGTTTAGCGGTTCTCTCACGGATCGCCCAAAAACTTGGCCTCTGCACTGTTCTCAAACAGGCAGCCTATCTCCAGTTTAGCGGTTCTCTCACGGATCGCCCAAAAACTTGGCCTCTGCACTGTTCTCAAACAGGCAGCCTATCTCCAGTTTAGCGGTTCTCTCACGGATCGCCCAAAAACTTGGCCTCTGCACTGTTCTCAAACAGGCAGCCTATCTCCAGTTTAGCGGCTCTCTCACGGGTCACCAAAAAAAAAAAAAACTTGGTCTCTGCACTGTTCTCAAACAGGAAGCTTATACCTCAAGCTTAAAGACTCCCTCATGGGTAGCCAAAAGCTAGGTCTCCAAAAGTGTAGCTCTCTCACGAGCAGTTCTCCAACTCTGTCTTTGCTCTCGCGCAAGCAGCCTACTTCTCTCTCTCTCCAGGTAATTATGTGAGATATTTTAATGTTTGGAATAACATTATTTTTGTCATCACAAGTAGGTTCTCCCGAGGCAGCCCCAGGCTCACCCAAAGCGCCCAGCACCTGGAGAAGGGCTTGATCATCAAGAGCAGCACCCAAGGGTTCCTTACTACTTGCAATGTCTAGCCCAACGCCTAGAAATGTGCCTGACTGCTGTTGCTCGTCAAAACAAAGTTGCCCAGTAGCTTGAAGGGTGTCTGGCCCTTCAAAATTGCGCAAAGCAGAATTTTCGGCGCAAAAATCAGCACCTAAGGGGCCCAAATCAGCGCCTCGAGTGAGAATCGGATCAGCCTGTGCTCCCAGGCCACTGCCTAGCTCTCCCTGACGAACCTCGGACTGCGCCCCTTGATGAAAAAATGCTGCTGCCCAGCGTTCCAAAGCCGCCCAGCGCACCTGGGCTGTCCAGGACAGCAAGGCCAGCGCCCAGGCAGCTGCCCAGTGCGCCTGAGCTGTCCAGGATGTGAGGAGCAGAGCCTAGGAAGCCGCCCAGGCCCCCAGCGCCTGCGCTGCGCGCCCAGCGCCTGCGCTGCCCAGCTGCGTGCGCGCCCAGCGCGCCTGCGCTGCCCAGCTGTGCGCCCAGCGCGCCTGCGCTGCCCAATCGCGCGTCTCCCTTTCTTCAACCTCCACCACTCCCTCTTCAAAATTAAATGGGAAAGATTTGAAGTTTAAAAAAAAAAAAAAAAAAAAAAAAAAAAATGTAATCAATGCCTCCTTCTCCAAGTCTCCTTGGACATGGGGCATCGGGGGGCAAATGATGGGTTAAGCCCAAATAGTCCAATTTATGTATTAAAGCCCAGCCCTGGTTGAGAAGCCCAACCTCATTGTGAATCCACCAAGTCCAAGACAGACCAAGGCCGGTTAGACTTCTTGCTTAGCACGTCACCAAGAGGAGAGCACGGGAAGTTTATCTGCACCTCCTTAAGGAGCCCAAGGCTGGCTAGACTTCTTGCTTAGCACGTCACCAAAAGGAGAGCATGGGAAGTTTATCTGCACCGCCTTAAGGAGCCCAAGGCCGGCTAGACTTCTCGCTTAGCACGTCACCAAGAGGAGAGCACGGGAAGTTTATCTGCACCACCGAAGGAAGAAAACGGTCCAATCATTGACCACATTTCATGAAGAGCTCCCCAACCTCTTCCTTCCGTGGAGGATAAGTCGCGATCTCCACCAAAGATAATCTCTAAGCTGCGATAAAGAAGCCTTGAGGATATGTTATGATCTCCACAAGAATGATCTCTTATCTACTATAAAATGGCTCTAATCTGAGAGAGAAGGTGACACATGCTCCATCAGAGACTTACAGAAGACGAACCGACTACCGGAGATTATTATTTTCTCTGATTCTCTACTCCCCCTCTCAAAGCTTGTATCTCCATTCTCCATACCTTTGAATCAATAAAATACCCGGCAACTGAAGCCATTGAAGAGTGGATGTAGGTCGAATTGACCGAACCACTATAAATTGTGTCTTCTCTAATTTTTTCGTTGATTTCATCGCATTTATTATCTATACTTGACAGGTGGTGTGCAAAACCATTTTTGTGCATCATCATGATCTTCTGGGATATGACTCAAAAAATCCTTGGTCAAGGCAAAATGACAATTAAAAAAGAGTTTCTAATTGATTATTAAGAGTCATAGTCCTAAGATCGAACACATAAGATTGAATTAGGGGTTTGACAATAATTTCATACCCTAGTAAATCAATTGGGGCATTGTATGATAGAAGGATTGAATTACATGACAACTATAGACTGAATGGGTTCTTTACCTAATTCGTGTTATCCGAAGTTTGATCATGATATACTGCTAGGTGTCACTCATAATTAGTAGAAGCTCGAAGAATAAAATTAATATAAATATATTAATTGTTCTTCATAAAGGGAGAATTAGAAGAGTTCTAATTCAAGCTAAATTACAAAGAGTTCTAATTTGAGATGCTACTTGTAGTTAGTATCGAATGCCTACAACCGGGTATGCTTGAACCTATAGGGTCACATACAATAGAATTGATTAGAAAATAAAGGATAAAAGAGAGACAACCAATTAAGAGTTAATTGGGGTAAAAACCTAATTAAGATTTAATTATGGACTTTATTACAATTAATGTTAATAAATTGGTTATATGTAATTATGAGATAATTGTACCTTGACCAAAACTAGAATTAGAGCTTTTAAAGCTCCATAAATACCTTTATGTAGGAGATGGATATAGATGATATAACAACTCTCTTGCTAGTACAAGAAGAACCACACCTCATTCTCTCTCTTTCTACTAGTTTATCAATGGTTGAAGTAGATCCTTCAAGTTTGTCAATTCGTGTGGATACTGATAGAGGCCAAACGTTTGCGAGGCCCGGGATAAAGATCAAATTCAGATTTAAAATTTTTTGAGAATGCTTGAAGATTGTTAAAGGTACGTTTCAAGAGGTAACCCTTAATCTTCTCTATAGATCTAAGGTTTCTCAGTTCGTATTAAACATGAATAGATCTTGGTGTGACGAATCAAATTATTATTTTTAAATTCCACGGCGTTTATTATATGATTTCTTTCAAGATGGACGTGCCATCTTAAATATATAGGGGAATCACAAGCTGTTCTCAAAACTATTGTTTTGGCTATTTTGAGCTTCCTAGATATTACAAACTAAATTTAAATGCAACAAGTTGCAGCAGACAAACAAGAAAAACAAAATGTAGTTTGGGTTTTTGTGAAAGTAGCTCCTATCTAGTTGTCAACAACTACAGAAAGAAATGATTTCCAGCAGAAATTGCAGCAAATGAACTACTAAAGCGGATTGTAGTTCGCGTTTTGTGCAAACAGCTGCAATGTTTATGTTTACTACCACTCGTAAGATAACATGATAAAGAGATACTTAACTCCCCCTTTCCCCCAACCCCAAAACAAAAAAAAAATGCAAACTAAAAAATAAAAAATGACACCAGTTGCAAGAAAGTTGTGTCAATGAATGTCAAAGTAATAAAACACCAAAGGAAAACAAAAGAATAAAGATAATCAAGCAAAACAACACCATACCAAGGATTTTTCTCTTTTTCATGTTTCTCATTTTTTGAAACTTAACTTGGTTGCCAAAACATCATATTTGCCTTCAAATTGAAAAGGAATTCAACAAACGCCAGTGTTTCCTGTTTATGCTGCACTGTTGACCAAAGTAGAGGAGTTCATTGAACAAATTTCTGTTTTGGTGAAATACCTAAAGAGGCCCTTTTATTTGCCGACATTAACTAAAACAGTTAAGCAATCCAGAAACATTAGAAGACAAGGCAGTTTTTTTCCATGGAGCTGAATACATACCATGCTGCATTGCCCAATTGCTTCATCATAGCGCTTGAGCTTTATCATGCATGCTGCCATGTTAAGGTGGCAAGGATTTTTTACTGCCAAAGCCATATCCCGATACTTGCCAAACAACTGAAACATGAAGTCATCTCCCATATATGCTATGGCCTACTAGTGTAAAAGGACAAAACAAGTTGTTAGAAAGGGGAAAATTATCAAACTCACTCAGAAAAATAATTAATACTAGAAGAGGAGGAGTATCCAGAACAGCAGTTTGTAACCATTTCATACTGTTGCATAGCCTCCTCCAGTTTTTCCTCCTTGAACAAAGCATTTCCATCCATCTTTCTTTTGTCAGCGGTACCGATCCTTTCCTCTACTGTCATGTCACTACGAGCTTTCCCCTGCAAAAAATTTCATTGATCGCTCTAAACTGTTAGCACCCTAATAGACCAAACTAAAATATTTTGAGATTGAATGAATAAATTCATCTGGAAGTAATCAACTGACAACTCACCTCTTTAATTTCATCAAAACCAATAAGCTCAACCTCATATAAAATATCCGCCATGGGAGGAACATTTGGGAACGAGAAGTTTCCTTCTTTGCCATAGCCCAATTCCCAACCCACATGTAACAAGGCACGTTCACCAGATTTCATGCGGCACACGCCAATAGCCAATCCCTCCATTTCTTTCTTCTCTGTTTCAGAAAAACCATTGGCATTTCACATTATGTTCAATGAAACTTACACTGCAAAAGTTTGTGACAGTCAAGTTCCAACAATTAGACCATAACATCACATCCTCGCACTCTGATGGTGTATATATAGCACATAATCATTATTCCAAATGTCATGAAATCAAATTCTGCGAACTGACTTTGCATAGATAGAAAAGAATTATTTAAGAAGGTTACTGGAGTATCACACTATTCTTTGTTCAGATTTATTGAGGAATAAACTACAAACTGAAAGACCAAAATAATAATAGAAGAGAGAATCACTTAAGCACGTACCTTTTCCTAAAACCAATTCGACCGGTCGTTGTTCAAGCCATGTGTCTTCAAACTTGTGCTGTGTGCTTTCAGTCCATGCCCTATAGTGCACTATCACACTCAAAATGGTCACTTAAATGTTCAGAATGCACAATCAAGCTAGCATCAAAACACAGGATCAAGTAGCACCAATTTATTATGCATACCAAACAATGTTCATGCAAACAAAAATAGCATAAGAAATTCATTGTTTCTTAATCACCATCAAACACACCACCAGTTCATAATGCCACTTCAGTTCGCCAACCAAATTTGCCATCAACACCACCACATCTAATTTCATGGCTATCACAACTCCATCAGTTCACCAATACCAAATCCTTCCAAAGATAAATGACCAGCTAATCACCCCCACCCCACCCCGCGCGCTGGCCTTCTCTCTCTTTCTCTGATTTTGTTGCTTCATCAAACATTGAGCTTCAGGCGGAGTTCATCAACACATTTCTTTTACCAACTAAGAAAAAAACTCCACACCTTCTGAAGTAATCAATCTGGTTCATAAGAGCAGTTATGCCCTGGGTGGCTGGGTATATCATCTTTGTTAACTGGATCAAGCCTTGGCAAATTAAGGTTATCATTAATTGGATACAAGTAACGTAACACTTACCGGCAAGCATGTTTTTTGGTACTTGTTTCCATTCTTTTATCAATGAACATGTCTTCCAATTCCCAAACAAGTTTTGTTTTTTATTTGAAGAAAACAACACAGAAACGTGTTGTTTTTGTATTCTTAATTACCAAGGAAAAAAAAAACAAAAACACTTACCAATCATAACCCTATTCCTTCTTACGTTTTAGGATCTAAGTCAAGAGTTAATAATCTCCAGTGCCTGCCGTAGGCATAGGTCGATGCCTAGGGCCCCAAAATGAAACAAAAAATTTGGGGGCCCCAAAAATTAATTTTTAGGATTGCTTAAAAAATATATAAGGCCTCCAATTTTAACTAGATTAGACAATTTAAGGTACGATTTGTTGACCCAAAAAAAAATGGAGATAAGATTAATGTTAGTAGATTCAATTGATAAACGGGTGGCCTCATTATACCCCTCAAATAAACAGATTGACACAAACTCGGCTAAACATGACACAAACCCTCTAAAAAAGTAAACACGACTACATACGGTAGAAACTCACAAGATTATAAATGGGACGAATTTTAACATAACACGACCGAATGATTACTCTTATATTACTTTTATTTTTGTAAGTTTGGCCTATTTTTCATGGAAATACTGAAAATATGAGTTGTCTCCACACACAATACTTTTTGATGTATTACAATCAAAATTAATTGAATGATTTATTATCTATTAATTATCTTTTGACAACAAACAAAAAACACACACAACATGACTAGAAAACATGGTAAATAGGAGTAGCTTACTATTCGAAATTTCTACTGACATTTGTTCTTTGAAAAATAATTTTTTACATTTAGAAATTTCAGTTCTCTTTTTCTATATTTTCAACTGATAGCAAACTTAATTTTGTTTTGGTTTGTGAATTCCAATTCCATTAATGGACTTGTATATACAAAAATTAATTACTAGTTTTGCATGTCAAAAACAAGAAAGATAATTTTTAAGGGAGTAGGCATTAATTTTTAATAATTCTTTGCTCGTATCTATATTATTACACATAGTAATGGGGCCCCATTTAAAATGTTCGCCTAAGACCTCCATTTGTGTCGGGCTCAAGACACTGATAAATGAGCATCCCCTCTATAGAACACAAATGTAAGAAAAATTAGCTGAACTGTCCCAAGATTCCCAACTCCAATAAAGTTACAGTAATATACATTGAGAATCTAGAAGAGAAGAATAAAAACAAATTCATCCACAAAATGGTCAGAAAATACAGAATATACTTTCCCTAGTTAATGCATATTATTTCCTTGGTGGTGCAGGCTGCACTTAACTGCTACGAGTCTATGACATATATGTACTAAAAGAAGAGCTACCTTCACAAATGGATAGTTCAAAGATACGAGCAAAAATGACAGCAATCAATTTGGTACTACAGGTTGCAGTTGCATTTGACATCACGTTCTCATCATTTGATCACATTCATTAATTACTTATATACATTTCGTTCTTATTAAGTTTGTTTTGTAGGACTACCAGCCACCAGGCCCCAATTGTTACTAAGCAGTGTTCTCAAATAACAGAGTTCGTTAAGAATTGTACTAGATGCTCTTAGAACCTGGCTGCATCAAGGTAATTATGACTAAATTGAATATAAAGGATAAAATGTTATGAATCACAATTCCAGACAATAGAATTGTAAGATAGCACCTGCACGAGCTTCAGGTACATAATTAAAGGATTTTTTATTAGTCAAATTCATGTGTTCGAAAGAATTTCTTATTCCACTCATAGAAACCATCTAATAGGGAGAGTTTGAGTCGGAAACAGACTTACAAAAGCATGTTGAATATTTTGATGGATTCTGACCCTGACCTTCCTTGATAATTTGCTTGGTCACTTTTTCGTGCAGTACTTCAACCTCAGAATCAACTCTTGGGGGACCAGTACCATCTTGAGGAAGTTCTCCATGCACAACTGAAGAACCTTCACTGGTGATTTCCTTTTCACCATCTTGATCTAAAAAGCGTTTAGAATATTGTCAGTGTAGATGATACTTCTCCATAGAAAAAACAAAAGAGATTCGCTCAATCATCGAAAATAAATTTCTTTACATGATTCCTCTTGTCCATTTGGCCAACGTATATCATGCATAAACTGGGGATATATACACACAAAAATAGGTAGATTTGCAATGCATTCATGGTTTTGATGTTGACCCAAAAACAAAGTAAATTTGCTTGGGAAATTCAACTGGCTTACCCTAATAAGAAACATCTTTATGGAGCATTAAGCACCCATTACAGCAATCAAAGTTCACACCCCTTGTGAACATTTCCTTTATATCTCAAAATGATATGTTACTTTAGAATTATAGATTGTCACACAGCCAAAGTAACTTTTGTTAATTAAACTTGGAAGATAAAGCAGAATAAATGCAAAAACATCTAACTGTATGACTAGTATGATATTTATAATAACTGATAAATTCCATGGATATCTAGGCATCATATTGATTCCCTTTCTAATCAAATGTGATTAAAAAAAAAGTAATTCCACACATCTTAATGTTGAAAAACAGAAGTCCAAATCATATCAGCTTAAATACTCTCTGCCATCCTACTATAACAATGAATCCATGTGGCTCAAGGACTCAACATGTACAATCTTACCCACAGACATATCAATACGTACATTTGCAAGTATAAAGTTCATTTTAGCTCCCGCATACAGGCCCATGCACTCCATCTACAAAACCGGCCATGCCTTTCTTACTCTTTGAGAAGAGGGGCATCAAAACCCACCAACCTGCTACTCAAATGTACTTTACGCTCGGGCTCTAGCAGAATATTCACACTACTCAAATGTTCATCATCAGCTAGCATGGCAGTCTATCGTGCAAATCTGGGAACGCCCTACTATACAATTTGCTCAAAAGATAGGGGGCCTTGCCATCCATACACGCATGTGGTAAGAACACCACAACATATATGGGTGTGCATACATACACACACACTAACATAAACATTTATGTATGTATGTATCTCAAAAATTAAGATTATAACCACAAAATCTCGATCTATTCAACTCAGCAAAGCATTAATCCCACCTATTTGGGGTTGGCTACATGAATTTTGTTTCTCTATTGCGCTATATCAAGGGTTATATGTTCAATTAGACCATAAACTATCATATGAAAATATACTATTTCATTCACAGTTATTTTAGGCTTATTTTTACCTTTCTCACTAATATCGATATGTATCAAATCACTCTTCTTTACTGGTGCATTACTAAGAACACCCAAGTCGATTCTCACTTAATTTATTTCCTATTGGTGCTACTTCTAAAATTTTACAAATATACTAGTTTCTAAGTCTATCATTTCTCGTTTTACCACACATTCAGCTTAACATTCTCATTTCTACAACACTTATGCGTGTTGTTTCTTAATTGCCCAACACACCGTCTCATAAAGCATTAATTGTCTAATGGATGTCCTATAAAACTGACCTTTCAAACTAAAAGGTATACACCGATCACATAATACATTCTATATATTCTTCAATTTAGTCATTTTGCTTCAATTCTATAATTAACATTGTTTCCAATCTCTCCCTCCCTATGGGTAATTGACCTCAAATAATGAAAGTGTTCGGTCTTAGGTATCGCTTGATCTTCGACTTTACTACCTCCCTATTTGGATTTCTACTATTACTGAAAAAACATCTCATATATTGAGTTTTATTTCTACTTATCATAAATCTTATTTATTCTAAAGTTTCTCACCAAACTTCCAGTTTGTTGTTAATTTATTGTTTAATTTCATCAACAATTCATCCATAATTAAGGTAAAGAGTTACGAACTTAAAGCGGAACCCAATGTAGACTGATTGAAAATTCACTCTTTTTTTCTCTCAGTTGTTATAACTGAAGTTATATCCTCATACATATCCTTTTTGTAACTCTCTTCTACTCTAAAAAACTTGTCCTATTATGTCACTAAGCACTCTATCATGTGTCTTCTCTAAGTCTATAAATATCATATGAA